GAGAGAGAGAGAGAGCCGGGGCCGGAGTCGGAGGGAGTTCGAGAGAAGCGCGATACCGGAAAACCGATACCGAAACGTCCTCCTCGCGCCGCCTCTCTCTATTGACTCGTCGGGGCTGGGAAACAAACGAGCGACTCCGCGACAATCGCGCCGGCCCCCCGCGACGGCCTCATCTCTCGGAGCGACTCCGCGCCGCTCTCGCGGAATATGCCGCATAAAGGCATATTCAATGGAAATCAGGTCAGATTGTGCGTCCGTCCCGCCGACGACCACTCGCGCCCGCGAGTTTTCCCCCGCTCTGAGCGTCCTGGGACGGGATGATCGTGAACGGCGAACCGGGAGAATCACCCGTCACGGTCATCACCCGCGGGACCGGGTCACCGTCGGGACGGGAGCGATAACGTCAGGTCAGGTAAACGTTAGATAAACGGATCCAACCGGATCCCGAATCCGGGCACCGCGGAGCACGCGAGATGAATTTTAAGGATCTCACGATCTACGTAGCGACGCGCGGAAGCGGAAAGTCGAAGCGGACGAAGGATGACGACGGGTTCTCCGCGGTTGGTTCTCCAGGTCGTAACAGGCCGCGGTCGCGCTTCGAAACAGTCTGGTGTTATCTCATCCGCGTGAGAAAGTAAACCGGGAAAATCGTAATTCCATACGTAATGTCACGTTCCGGTGAGGCACTAAGGCTATTAGTTGGCTCGATTCCTCCATCCGCGATTTCTCAAATCCCAAATCGCGGAGGACAGGAGTCACGCCGTGATTTCCACGACGTTAACGACATCGACGTCTTTTTTACGGCGTGACCAAAGACGCGCCGATCGTTCACGTTTCGCGATTTCTCACTGGGATCTGTCAGTTTCCCGATTGCGATCTCTCATGCGTGTTACGACCCGGAAATTCTCTCCCGCGGAAGGCGATTCTCTTTCGCGGAGATCCTCTCCCCCAAGAGTCGACGCGACGACGCGCGACTGGATTTCACACGCCGGTCGTCCTTGGCGAGAGAAACGCGACGGGCGCGAGGAGCGCGCGAGATAGCGTACCAGTGGCCGAGCACTTTTCCGGGTAGAAAGGGGCTGACAGACTGTTGCTTTTCCCCCTGTGTAGCTCCCGGAGCGCGAATTGATCCGCCGGTCCGCGCGCGCCACCCCGTCGCCTCCGTGCACCCCCGCGACCCTGTAACCCGCCACCGTCGCCGCCAACCTTCAACTCCACCATCGTCATCGCCACTACCAACCCCTCCCCCTCCTTCTCCAAAACCACCGCCGTCACCACCACCACCACCACCACCACCACCACCACCACACCATCGATGTCGCCGGCATCAGCAGCGTGTTTGTATCTTTCCTAAGCGAAGTGGCCTGATACGAATCTTCTCAGTTGCCTCCGCAGTTATCTCCCGCGTGGCTTTCCACGCATTTCCCTCGCAGATAACTGTCGCATGGAACTGTTCGCCTCTTTTGAAAATCACTGAGAATTTGAGAAACCAAAAATATCTTTATACAAGCAACATTCTTTATACAAGCTATTCTCACTTGAAAAGCCGATTTAATTCCGATTTTTTAGTTTTCCAAGAATTTAACTTTCTAAGAATAGAGCTGAGAGAAAACTTAATTAAGTTAATTAAGAGACTTAAATAAGATTGTTATATTGACTGATGTTGGAGAAGCTGCGATTTGGGGCACGATTAGGATTCCGTTAAGGTAGGCATAACTGGAGAACGATAATGCCTTGCTTTCCACACGTCGCACGTATCCATTCAATTGCTTAGTTAAATTTCGTAAGAACCAACGTTTCGATACCGCAACAATTTTGCACAAGGCAGCTACGCCAAATGCATGCAAATTGCATTTTACGTAAAATAAAGGTAACGTCGGTCAAAAAAATTATTATTGTATATGATGTAAGAAAGAATTGTTTACTGATATTCTCCTTCTCTCTCAAGAATTTTTTATATATATATCTAGATAATTGATAACCGGTACGAGATATTATTGACATTTGATTAAGTTTTCTCCCGTTTCGCAATTTCATTTAAACACTTTTAAATAACTAAGCCTCATAGATATCAATGATCGAGATGAAATCCATTGAAAATTACTTACGGGGGGCTATATTCGTCCTCTCAATTTATCGCGAAATACGTGTCTCTCGAACCTAGACGGAATAAACAATTAAGTATCTGAACTTCCCTCCCCGTCTGTCACGTCTTGAACGTTTCTCGCCCCATTTCGTTCGACAATCTTCTGTCAATATTCCTTCTTACCGCGAGAAGTTTTCGCGGTGGTGGTAATCGGCGTTACAAACAACAACCCTTCAACCGACGACAGCGTCGCCAGTTACCAGGGGGATGTCTCCATAGAGAAAGAGAGAGAGAGAGAGAGAGAGAGAGAGAGAGAAGAAAGAGAGAAG